GGGTTCTTAGGGGAATAGTAAAAAATGTGAGTTGGTTTTTTAACCACTGTCTTAATTCTTAGAGAGAAGCCTCCCGTGCTGTGGTTGTGAAGTGTGTGCTTATGGATCCTCCTTGCTCCTGGGGGCCACCAGATGGGGTGACGTCCCCCCTTGCTGGTGTTCTAGGTCACATCCTGTCCATTACAGTTCTCCAGGCTCTCGGCAGCCTGTCTGAGGAGTCCTGGCTTTCCCTGGGCATCGCTGCCTGCTGTCCTGCAGTCAGCCCTGGGCATCGCTGCCTGCTGTCCTGCAGTCAGCCCTGGGCCTGACCCACTTAGTCCCCGTCTCTGCAGCACTGCCTCCTGTTCCTGGATGGCTGCTTGCATCCCAGGCCCTCTGTGGTCTGGACCTCCCTCCCTGACTTCACACCTTTCCGAACTGCTCTGCAGGGTTCTGCTCTGCATCAGGCCTCTCCTGACCCGTGCCTAGAGATGCCAGCTTCACCTCCTGTGGTCCCCTGAGCCCTTCAGCGCAGGGCTCACTTGTGTGAGTCTCAGCTGAGCCCTGCAGAGCTCACTGGCCTCCACAGCGGCAGCTGCCCTGGCTGTCACAGGGACTGCCTCCCCTCAGTGTCCAGTGTGTTCAGTGCATTTCCTGGCTTTTTGTTTGTTTTTTTCTTTTTTAAATGCAGAGCACAGCCTAGCTGTCAGCTTGTCTTCTGAGTGCTAGATATGCCCGGCCCTTGGAAGTAGGTTTGTTACGTTCCAGGCCTTGAGTAGAGATTGCCACAGCCCACAGTGCCTAGTGGAGATACATGCTGATGGTTGAAGGTCTGATGTTGACTGACAGGAGGTGGAAACTGTAGTCAGATGAAAAGAAAGTCACAGCCATCCTTTTGTCTGCTTCTACACTTAGAGCTGGGAGTTCAGCTCTCTCGAGGTGTTTGTTCTCTTTGGTTTGAAGCAGTCTCACTATGTAGCCCTGGCTGGCTGTGTTGACCAGACTGACCACAGAGATCCTCCTGCCTCTGCCTCCTGAGTGCTGGGATTAAAGGTGTGTGCCACCACACCAGTTCAGAATAGTGAAACAGTCTTTGTTTTCTGTAGGTTATATTTGAGAAATAAATACTTGTTTTACATTTTTCTTTTTTTTTTTTTTTTTTGGTTTTTCAAGACAGGGTTTCTCTGTGTAGCTTTGTGCCTTTCCTGGGACTCACTTGGTAGTCCAGGCTGGCCTCGAACTCACAGAGATCCGCCTGGCTCTGCCTCCCGAGTGCTGGGATTAAAGGCGTGCGCCACCACCGCCCGGCCTTGTTTTACATTTTTCAAGCACAAAGCTTCAGTTTCCACAGTCCACCCAGGTCACTAGGTAGGCAGTAGAAGCCGGGGGAAGCTGGTGGGGGTCCTGGCTCCAGAGCCTCAACCCTGACTAGACTGCAGCCACTGAAGAAGCCTGAGCAGGTGGCTGACAGCACAATCGCTGTAGTCTAGGCTGGGTCTCCCGATGCCCTGAACCACCTTCAGCTTTTGGAGTGTTGGTAGGAGCAGCAAGGTAGGGCTAGCCTGAGGTCTCTTGAATTTAAAAGGTGACTGTGAGGCTTTTAAGTAAGCATGTTCTGCCACCAAGTGATGGTTTAGGCATGGTATGAGGTCGGCTGGGGCTGAGGCCAGTGATGAAATTGGCCCTGCTCGGTGGGGTCATCAAGGCTCCTTCTCTTATGAGCGTGTGTTGTCTCTCGGTCAGTGAGTCTTTACCCATGAGAGCTGTGATTGGCTGGAATGGTCTGTCTGTCATTCCTACCCTTGGCTTAGTTGTTAAGAGGAATCGCTTGCCAGTGGTTGGGTTTTTGGCTCACAGGAGTGAGTGTAGGAGAGAAGTGGCCTGAGGGCTTCCTTGTGGGTGTTTGGCAGTCTTCATAATAGGATGTGGGGACACGTGTCCTGCTTACTGAATCATGACCTCCCCCAAAAATGGTTTGTTTTGTTTTCTTAAATGGTGTATGAAGTGCTTTGTGGTGAAGTTATCTGATCTCTCTCCCTGTGGTAGGGTTTTTCCTGGCATCCAGGGGGGAGCTGTTGTGGTGTGTGGTGTGAGAAGTCACAGCCCCAGGTGCTAGTTCAGTAACACGCTGCTACCAGTCAGGTAGAAAGCAAGCTGACTCCACACTTCTCACCCACAGGTGCCGTCTACATCGACCAGTACTGCAACCCTCTCTCCGACATCAGCCTCAGAGACATCCAGGCCCAGATCCATAGCATCGTGGAACTTGTGTGCAAAACCCTCCGTGGTATCAACAGCCGCCACCCCAGCCTGACCTTCAGGGCAGGTGTGGAAATGCTGTAGATGAGCCAGGCTGCAGAGGTCCTGGGGTGGTTGCCTGAATGATGTAAAGCACTAACGCCACCCTGTCTCCGTTCCCAGGCTGGCAGCACTTGACTGTCATGCAGGCCCTTGCCTGTCACTGCGTGTTCAGGGTGTGCCTTGCTTGTGTTTGTGGTGTGAGTGTTTGGGGTGTACTTGCTCATGCTTGTGACCCAGAGGAGTTCTTTGTGCTGCAGGCGAGTCCTCCATGATAATGGAGATAGAGCTCCAGAGCCAAGTGCTGGACGCCATCAACTATGTCCTGTACGACCAGCTGAAGTTCAAAGGGAACCGCATGGACTACTACAACGCCTTGAACCTCTACATGCACCAGGTACATGTGGCTGCAGCAAGAGGAACCATGCAGCTCCCTCTTCCTCCTGCAGCACCCTCTGTGTGCTCCTGTGTAGGCACCGTTCACTGCCTAAACCTGCACGTGTGCACACGCAAGGCAGTCGGACAGTGCTGGGGAGTGTGTGACTTAAAGCTGAGAAAGGGTGGGTGTGTAGGTTCTGTGCCTGTACCTACTGGATCTCCCTGTACCCTTGATGCTCCAGGGTGCTCGGACCTGACTCCCCTCTAGACAGACAAGGGTGACTGTGTGTGTGCAGTCACATCTCCAATGGGCTGTCCATTTCTTGCTGACAAATGCTGTCGTCTTTCCGTATCTCAGTAAAGCCCATTTTCCTCTATCATGCGATAGCATGGTGGGGTAGATCTGCTACAGGATGCTTTTCTTTTTAATTTAAATTTTATGTATGTTTAGAAGAAGACATCAGATCTCATTACAGATGGTTGTGAGCCACCATGTGGGTGCTAGGAATTGAACTCAGGACCTTTGGAAGAACAGCCAGTGCTCTTAACCACTGAGCTATCTCTCCAGCTAACAGGATGGCTGTTGTAAGGAAGCCCTGTGAATAGAGATGGGCATTTCTATGGCTTAGTTTGCTCAGTCTATGATTATGAGTGCTGAACTGCACAGACCTGCCTCCGTTGGCCTGGAAGCCTATGGCCGAGCTACATCAGCCACAAACCTTTGATGTGCATTTCCTTGTCTGTCCTGTTCTCTGTAACATGGTTTCTATTGTCCTATCACAGACTTTACATGCTTGCTTTCTGGTAGGAGGAGGCCAGCAGGCTGCCTGTAAAAGGCCTGGCAGTCCAGGTTTGCAGGCTGTGTGGTCTGTGTGCTCAGTACTGTCTTACTGGGTGAAAGGGCACAGGCAGTTGAAGCCTTGGGTGGCTGTGTACTCTGTGTGCCAGCAGAGCTGTGTGGGCATGGAACATGCTGGTTACGGTTCTTTGCCTATTTTGAGATAGGTTCTCACTTGGTAGCCCAGGCTGGTCTTGGACTTTCTGGCATCTTGCCTCAGCCTCCCAGGTGCTGGGACTATAGGCATGGACCATAGAACCTGGCTTCTGTTATTTTCATGTCGCAAAATGGTTTTGTTCTTAGAATATTTTAAACATTTGAAAATTCAGGTGTGGGCAATAGCTGAGTGGTGGAATGCTTGCCCAGTGTACACAAGGCTACAGCTTCCATGCCTAGCCCAGCAAAAACAAAACACAAGCTAAAAGCAAGAAATTGGGTGTGGGGTAGTCCACACCTGTAAGCCCAGCATTGGCAGGCGGAGGGGGCAGGGTGGCAAGTTTGAGGCCAGCCTGGCTTTGTAAGGAGACCCTGTCTTGGGGCTAGGGAAGGAGGCAAACATCTTCTGCAGGCTGTAAGAAAACAGCCAGAGTGCTGGGTTTGGTCCCTGATCTAAATGGGATGCTGGCACCGCATTGAGCCAGCCCCTGGCCCTCCTGAGCCTCAGCAACTTTCCTCCCTCAGGTGTTGACCCGCAGAACAGGAATCCCCATCAGCATGTCTCTGCTCTACCTGACCATCGCCCGGCAGCTGGGGGTCCCGCTGGAGCCCGTCAACTTCCCAAGCCACTTCCTGCTGAGGTGGTGCCAAGGCGCAGAAGGGTGAGCCATCTGTGCTGTGTTCAATGGGTGTTGAGGAACGACCGGGTTCTGGTGTTAAACTAGGGATTACCAAGCAGGCATCTGCTTCTGAGGGGTCACGTTGAGCTTATATTGGGTCCCCCTTATGTGGGGAGTGACAAGCACTATGTGTATTTATGTTTCTTACACAGGCATGTAACTCTACAGCATCTCAAAAGCCTAACTTAAAAAAAGTCTTGTGGCTGTCAGGGTCCATAGTGTGAAGGTCCATCCCATCAAAGGTTCTTCTCTTTTCTCCTCAGTCATAAAACTCCTCCTCCTCCTCCCACACTTGTGCTGCCCCTTGGGAGAGAGGAGGACCAGGCTGGGCAGCTTACAGCCTGGCCGAGCTGAGTTGTGTTCTGGGATTGGCTGGTTTCAGGTCGAGTCCTCTGCTTCTCCTAAGCAGAGTTTTCCCCAAGGAGAAAAGCACTTCTCCACACGAGGGAAAAAAACTCATCCTGTTGTCCTGTCCTGGACAGTGGGATGAGCAGTCCCTGAGCTTTGAAGCCAGACAGGGCTCAAAAACCTGGCTTCGTCAGAGCCAAGGGGGCTAGTATTCTCTGTAAATGCTGGCTTAAAAGTTCAAGGAGAGCCTCCAGTGTACATGTGCAACACACACACCACACACACACACACACACACACATTCACACATACACACACTCTTACCCTCTAATCTCTCCTGCTCTGTAGAAAGGAAGTGCAGCTGGACTCCACATGCCCCTCCTGTTTAAGAAGACAGACATTTCATGAGGTGTGAAGACCCCTCATCCCCATCCATTACTTTGAGTTTCTTTACATTACTATAGACTGTCATTTTCCAAACGTATAGTCCTCACAGTTGACTGGTAGGTTAATGTTTGCAATCTGGATATCTACTTCCTATTATTTGCAAATAAGAAAACTTATTTGCAGCCTTGGTATGCTTACCTATCTCCTTGTGCATCTGTAAGATACTCCTGTGACATCTACTACTACTGAGGGTCCTACATGATCTGATCATTTTGTCTCTATTGAGTGTGTTGATTCTTTGAGAATCAACTATGACTCACTATGCTACCCAGGCTGTCCTGGAACTTGGAATCCTCCTGCTTCAGCCTCTCATCCTGAGTGCTAGTATTACAGAGCTGAGCCACCACTCCAGGCTCAGACAATGCAACGATTTGTTAGGACCTGAAGTCCTGTCTGATTGGGAGGCTGAGGCAGGAGGATCAGTCACTTTACTCCAGGACCCAGGCAGGGGGCAGAAACAAACACAGAGACCTGTGGAAGCCTGAGCCACCAGCAGCGATGCTGGCACACACACAGCCCTTGTTAGCAGCTGGGCTCCACCCTCGCTGCCCAGGCTGTACTCTGAGCCCTCATGACCTCCCGCCCCCATCCAGATCTTAAAGTGCTTTGGATGTTCCTAGCTTTTGGTCTTCCTTACAGATTGAGAGTCAGTTTATCAGGTTCCTTAGGCCTGTGTGAAGGGCACAGGGAGGCTGAGGCAGGAGTTTGTGGCCAGCCTGAACTACAGTCTAGCCCCTATATCAAACAAGAAAACAGAAAGTTCTACTTTGCTATTGATTGCAGCTAGAAACTGCTTCTGACTGGTTCTGGCTGGTTCTGGCACTAATGTCAGGTCCTGTAGCCTCCTGCTGTCTGTGACTGTGGTTCTGGGCGTCTGTTAGGAATTGTTTACCTTTCCACATGACTCGGTTAGGGCTATCCTGAGCTACCAAGTGTTTTGGCTCTAGCTGTGGCTGGTACTTGTATACAGGCCTGGCCTTCAGTGCCTGGCTGGATGAGTCTATTCTGCAGATGGTTCGTAGCTCTGGCTTTTGGTGACATGTCACAGTGTCTGAACAGCGCTGTTTGTTTTTTCTAGCTTAGTGTGTTGGCTATTGACTACAGAGCAGAAACAGATAGCAATACCCTTGCCTGGGGATGATTTTTGAGGGTTTTTGTTGTTGCTTTTAACTCTGTGTGTGTGTGTGTGTGTGTGTGTGTGTGTGTGTGTGTGTGTGTGTGTGTGTGTGTGTGTACAGAAGTTAGAGGAAAACTTGTGGGGGAGTCAGTTTTTTTCCTTCTACTATTTGGGTCCCAGGGGTCAAACTCAGGGCCTTGAACTTGGCAGCAAGCACCTTTCCATCTTTCCAGCCCAGGGATCTCCTTCCACACGGAATGCTTCTTTCTTCCACACGGAATGCTTCTTTCTTCCACACGGAATGCTTCTCAGCTTTCAGCATTAGCTTGCTGTTTGGCGTGACACCTTTTATTGGTGTCATCAAAACTACCTCCCAAATTTCCAATTTTGTGAAGTGTTTGTTTGTTTGTTGTTTTGTATAAGGAGACATGGTCTCACTCTGTAGCACTAGCTGGCCTGAAATTTGCAATATGGATCAAGCAGGCCCCAAGATCACAGAGATCCTCCTGCCTCTGCCTCTACCATGGGATTGAAGTCATGCACTGCTGTGCTTGGCTAATTTTGCTAAGTTGTATTTCTATGTAGACATTAGATTTTTTCAAGCATGTATTTTTTAGTAGCTGTACATGTTCTTTCACTTTTTATGTCTAGGAGTAGCTATGTGGGTTTTTGTTTGGGGGGCTTGATTTGTGTGTGTGTGCTGCAGATTGAACTGTGCTTTATCACTGAGGTTCACCTGTCCCAAAATTGATCTTCCGTGTTCAGCCCTGTATTCTTGGGGCACAGCTAGTCCAGGTATGTCTTTAAAAAACTCTGGCACTTGGGCACGTGCACATTTTGTCTGTGTGGTTTACATCGTGATGACCTCGGCTCGCTAGGCCTGTGTGTTTGTCCATAGGAATTCAGCCTCATAGCAGACGCCAACAAGTTCTGTGCTCTTTTAGAACATTTATGTAAGTCTCAAGTCTTTGCCAAAAGTGGGCTATGAACGCAACTCAGGAAAGAAATCCGACTGAGATAGTTAGCAGCCAAAGAGGAAAATGTTGTGTGATTGCAGTGGGCACAGGATCAAGATTGCTCAGAAGAAGCGCTGCTGTCCCCAACGCTTAGCCACCCACTACTCCATGAGCCCTCAGAGTCACAGTTGGCAGTGCTGTGGGCATGTGAGCAGGCCCAGGGTCATTGCCCCCAAGGTACCAGCCTGGGGTTGTGTGGGCACAGAGGAGGGCCAAGTCCTGGTCTGGGCTCCGTACGTTTTCTTAGGTCCTTGTAGGCCCTGGATCCCAGACAGGCAGCAGTCTGCCACTCTGTGGTTAGCATCCATCTTGGTCCTCGTGCCCATGTCTTTCTGTCAGTGTTCTTTAAACTGGCTCAGGGCTGTAGGACTCTGTCTGCTGTCGGGCGGCTTCCCTGCTGCCGCTTACTTGTTTGTTGGTTAGCATTATGTGTGCGCATGCACAGCGTTTGTGTAGAGTCAAGACAGCTTGGTAGTCAGTTCTCTGCTTCCACCATGTGGGGCCCAGGGAGCAGCCGCAGCTGGTCAGGCCGACAGCAAGCGCTTTGATCCACTGAGCCATCTCCCTTGCCCTGGTGCTTCTGGAGAGCAGGGCGGTGGTCACCACGGCCAAGGCCTCGATGGTACTGGTGACGATGGTAAAGTGGTGCTGTGACCTCCCCCTCTGCCGTGGCCTCCTCCTCCAGGTTGTAATTCTGACTCGTTGGCTGTCTTTGGGCAGGGCAACCCTGGACATCTTCGACTACATCTACATAGATGCTTTTGGGAAGGGCAAGCAGCTGACAGTGAAGGAGTGTGAGTACTTGATTGGCCAGCACGTGACGGCGGCGCTATACGGTGTGGTGAATGTGAAGAAGGTGCTGCAGCGGATGGTGGGCAACCTGCTGAGCCTGGGCAAGAGGTGAGGGCCTGGCTTCCTCTGCTCCCGCAGTGTAGGCCTTCTAGGTTCTGTGCAAACACAAGAAGCGTGTTTAATGAGCTGCCCTGTGATGACTGCTTCTGGGACATCAGCCTTGCATTTGTTCATAGCCTCACCCTCTGGTGTTTGTGGTGGGCTTAACTCTGCTCAAACACTGAATGCATTCTTTGGAAGTCAGTGTCAGAATGGCAGAGGTCATGTCTTCCTGTCCAGGTGCTGTGACCTCTGACCTTACACCCTCCTGTAAGAACAGAGTCTAGGGTTAACTTTGCTCCATAGTTCAAGGAAACCTGTCCTGGGAAATGGCTGTAGGATGTGTGTTGCAGTCAGTTTCCTGATGCCCAATAGGATTCAGCTAGCAGAATTCGTTGTTAATAGATTCTTTTTAGAACAACTGTCAGTTGGTGGCACAGGTGAGCAGACTGCAGGGGGGGTTATAACCTCACAGGTGAGCAGACTGCAGGGGGGTTATAACCTCACAGGTGAGCAGACTGCGGGGGG